GGATATTGCTCCTGGCTCCTGCTGCCTGTGGACTTTAGAGAGACTCACTGTTGTATTTGGTTGATAGTTACAGAACTTTTGGTGCCTGTTAGTGTTAATAATTTTTATTTCATGATACAACATACACACATGTAAGAATGTTAATGATCACAAGTTAACCCTAATCATTACTATCAAGTAACAAAGCGATGTTGTGTTTGTTTTGCTGTGATTGATTTCATATCACAGGGGACCTTTTAGGAGCCATTCCATGAACACTGTGGGATTCAACTCTGCCCCAAAAGACATGTCCATTTCCCTCAGTGATGGGACTTTTCCACTTCAGGAACTTTTCCAGGATCCCTCATGAATCTGCTGATTAGTCAAACATAATAATCAAAGGCTTCTACAACTTTCGTAGGCTGAAACATTCGTTCACAAACTTATAACCAGAGGCAGACCCTCCAAACCTCATCTCAGATGTGCAGTGGCTATTCGAAAAAAGGCCACATTAAATCCAATCACGAATTAAATTAAAACCGCTAATTAGCTAAAGGTGATAATGAGGACCTCTGCCACAGCACAGTGAACATCATGTCACCTAATTGATCCACGCTGAGTGAAGCCATCGCTGGCTTGTATCTGATCCTAAGGCTCAACCAGGGTGAGTTTGTTCCCTGCTGGTGCATCTTGGCCGACAAATCCAGTTTAATTTGTTTTCTCGCCAAGCGCAGGATTCAGCTGACTAACTGCTGAGACTGAACCCTGACTACTGAGGTACATTCTAGAGTAGACAACAGAATCTATTTCTATAAAGGATATGCGTGCAGTGTGCTACAGCAGTAATTCCCAAACTTTTTGAATTTGTGTTTTTAGTAGTAAGTTTTTCTTGTGTTATGTGAGTCGCCAAAAAAAAAATAATAATCCAGTGATTCAGAAGAAAATCATCAAACATCAGAGGAAAATCTGAAAAGATATACATTAAAGAACTTCAAAACTTCTGTTGGAAATCTGCTGATTCAACTCTCATACATTCTTCATTGATCAAAAATCCAGCTAAACATTAACTCTCAAACATTGTTTATTTGAACTGAGAGTTTCATTGTGATTGGAAAACAACACACTGGTTTACTGGTGCCACCATCAGGTCAGCAGTGTGTTCTGTCTCCACAGACTCAGACTCTGAAAAATAACTTTGAGGCAGAAATGTGTATTTTCGGCTTTCCCGTCTTGTTAATCATGTCGAGACCCCTCAGATTTATCTCATGACCCCTTAAGGGCTTACCAACCCCCAGGTGGGAAACCACTGTACTAAAGTGCATCTGTAATTTGCATCCATGACTTGTGGAAGGAATTCAATATGTGACTGAACACACTCACAATGATTCAAAAGGATCTTACAAAGTCAAGGACCAAAATAAAAAAAGATGGAGGACTCTCGAACATACAAGAAGAATTTTCATGACAACACGTCATAGGTATGTAATACAAGTAGCTACATTACCTTTGTGAAAAAGATATGTTCCTGGTGTGAAGCAACATGTGAACAGCTCATCTCACTGGATACAATGGGAACATTTATTATCTAGTCCATCTCAGTTGGGTTGTAAAGGTCTTACTTGAAATGTAAAGGGAGAAGAGGGTCAGCCAGAATAGATAGATAGATTTCAGTTTCATGTTCCTGACATGTAAAATGTGTTATCCATCCATCCATCCATCCATCCATCCATCCATCCATTCATCCATCCAACTATTCATCCATCCATCCATCCATCCATCCATCCATCCATCCATTCATCCATCCATCCAACTATTCATCCATCCATCTATCCATCCATTCATTCATCCATCCATCCATCCATCCAGTCATCCATCCATCCATCCATCCATCAATTCATCCATCCATCCATCCATCCATCCATTCATCCATTCCCATTTCCACAGAAAATGTAGTAACTATAACCTTACAGAGGGAAAATATATGTTCTGCAGTGGATGAACTATTACATTTAATGAGTAAAACAAGACATTTACAGATGTAGGAGAACAACGGAGGTCTAAAACGGTTGCTTTAGAATAATTTAATTCAGATTTATAACCCCTCAATAAAAATGCTGTATATGGTTTAGTATAAATTAGATAAACAGGAATTAAAAATATAGGCTCACTCCTGTTAGTTCACCATATGAGAACAAACACAGGAGTTGTGCTGCTCCAGTTGTTTGCCATTCATTTGTTCATTGCGCTCATTTGGCCTCTCATGGTGCTGCTTTGTTTTAACTGAAAGCACTTTCAGTCAAGACGTTTTGCAATATAAATGCATTTTTGATATACTTTCTAAAGTTTTGAATCAACTTTATACAGGCAGAGAATAACATGAATGTTGGTTTTCTCCTCTACATCCAGCTTCGACATATTATCCAGCTCATCAGTCTCTGGTTTGGGCAGATTCGGTCCGTCTTCCCACCTTTCTCTTATCTTTAGAGCCCAAGGTAGTTAGGCTTCAGGCTGCTGTGCAAGTTTGTAATTTGTGGTCTGTGTGTCTTTACACAATGGTGACATGTCTGTGTTTCCTGAAGCCTGAGTCATCCACAGTGTTGTAGGTGCTATTGTAGCCATTTCCTGCCTGGTTACTGTTCACAACATCAGGCATCTAAAAATCAAGAGCAAGTCACATTAATAATGTATCTAATGTTCTTCTCAAAATAGATCCGCAGTTAAAACAGTGCACACTCCCTATTTCAAAACAAAGTTTATATAACACATAAAATATGTAGCTACTGTATATTGCTCAACTGAAAAGGCAATCAGCTTGAAATTACCAAGCTGTGACTGCGGCCTTGAATAACATATTTGTTTATGAGCTCCCTCATTTATTACTTAAATTCATTAGTTGAATGAATTATCCATATGTACAACGGCTGATAAATGACACATTCAGTGATTAGTATCTTCAGATTTAAATATGATAAATTCACATGGTTGGTAATTTTTTTTATTTCATTTGCAGGAGTCATGCAAAGTGATCGATATAAATCACCACCTCAGGATTTCTAAAGGCACGTAGAGACATCCAGCAAGATCTCGCGAACATTTTGATTTAAGTGTGTTTGACTAATCTAGTGACTCTATTTACTCAGGATTGTGTATGGACTGTGGCAGTACGGGCACAGTGTGAGGAAGTGCAGACATAACATTATACAATAGCCAATATGCTACTTTCAAATAACAGCTCAGAAGTTCTGTAGCCATACTAATGAGTGGCTATATGAATGGCAAAGTCAGCAATGCTGGTCAGTCAGTTCACTTCTCTGAGGCCACCAGGAGATTGTCACTTTAAGATTTTAGTCCCCAGAGGTCGAACCACACTGACTTTGGCTGTCCCCTGGTTTTTGCTCTACTGCCACCATGAGGTTGAGGTGAAAAAACTTTGATCACCTGACTTTTCATCTAGCGCCATCATCAGGTCATGTTGGACACGTTTATTTGTCCAACACTTTTATTTATTTAGCACCTGCTGTGTTAATGACAGCATTTGTGTTCAGTGCTAACTAATAAACATTAAACGCTATACCTGCTAAACATCAGCATGTTAGCATGTTGATGTTAGCATTTAGCTCAAAGCGTAGCTGTGTCTAGGTATAGCCTCACAGAGCTGCTAGCATAGCTATAGACTTACTGCTGAAAGAGAGAAAATCCTAAATAATACCAATTTAGTAACTGAATGGGGGGGACTGAATTTTACCTCTTTTTCTTTTTCTTTTCTTAATTCCAAGACCCTCTGCTCATACATAGATACATCTCAAAATATATTTGGTACAACTTGTTCCACCTTAAGATAAAAGGTAAATAATTTAAGTTGTAACAGATTTTTGCTCTTTGTTTCCACCAAACACAGTATCTCTATCACAGACCTACTTCCTTATTCTTGCTCTCATGACCTAAAAGGCTCTCTGTACATGCATGCAAATATTTTCTACTGCTCATCATTGTGTATAACAGAACAGCACCACAACCTTACCTCATAACTACTGGAGCCATTTACCTGGCCAAAGCCGCTGTCAGTGAGCTCACTGGGAGCGACACCTGTGAACAGAGAAGAGAGACCAGAGATAAGAGTTTGGACTTTATTGTGTCTCAAGTTGATAATGGCTCTGTATAGAACAGTAGCGTAATATATGATAGCAATACATAGAACAACAATTTGTCAAATATTGTCATTTAAAGCTTGTGTATGTTTGTGTTTGTGTATTTGCACTAATCCGTCTTACTTGTTCGACCGTCCGCCAAATATCCTGCGTTCACTTGACCCTGTTTCTGTCCAGCTGCACTGGCAACACTCTGGCTCTGTGTCCTCACTCTCTTGCTACACACAATAACAGACAACACAGCATGTTACTGTACACAGAAACATGCTGAAGCTGCTGAGCTGGAAGATTTCAGGAGTATTTACTAAATATTTATCATTTTTGTGGCTTCTCACCTCATTTCATCTTGGTAGTTGGTTTCTGCGGGGGATTGGGAAATAACAAATTACTTAATAAATTAGCAAATAAATATTTGAGGTTGTTATATAATGTAAACAAGACATTTATAACTGTTTGCCGAGGGCTATTAGTCAGTGTTTTGATTTTTAGTACTAATAACTAATGTCAGGATAAATTATAAATTAATCTTAAAAAGCCATTAGTGTAATAATTATTGAACAGCAACTGTGACTCAGTCTTTTTTCAAAGTCTGTTCTGCTACTCTTTCAGTTCGCAAACATTTACCATTTTTAAGAAAGAACCAGTGAGTTCAACATTTCTGCTTCGTGTCATCTAATGAAGAGGATACTGTCCCATTCTTCCCATTAATATTTTCCAGGACTTTCTACCCTCGGACAAAGGTTACTACCATGACGTCTGTGATTCCCGGCATGCTGTATGAGCTGATATAATGAGGGCCTTACGTTTTTCTTTCCTGCGTTTGTAGCAGAAGATGATTCCAATGATGAGTAAAACCAGCAGAGCAAAACTTCCAAAAGACACGACCACAGCGATCAGCACAGTCCAGTCAGGAGGCTTGGGAACTGTTGCAGAAGGAAAAAACTGAATTAAAACCTAAAGTCAAAGTAAGTCAAAGTAAACGGTCAAATCAAAATACTGGACACATCTAAAAGAGGAGGGAAGCACAATATTCACATAAAAACACACTGCACATGAAAAGCCTGTGATGTTCTATTTTTTATATGTGAATTATAATATATATCATTACTGCGTGAACAGAAGATTTTCATGAGAGATTAGTGTCACCTTCTGAGCCATCCTGAGGTTTCAGTCACTCAGCTGATGGTGGTGATGATCCAGAAGCATCTCTTTCCCACTATAACCCCTTACATTAATATATGATATGTCTCCCATCCAGACTGTGTCCATAGACACACAAAACCTGTCTGTCATACACATTAAACTTGTTTTTCTCTCTCCTGCAAACTGTAGATTGCTGTAGGACTCTTACTTCCTGTTAGTGTTACAGTATGATCCCTGCTATCTGTGTGCACATCCTGGTTGAAACCTTACACTCAGACTTATTACTGGTAATGTCATTGCTATACCTCATGTGTTGAATGGGTTTTTCATTCAATTAAAACCTGATTTTATTGATTATTCTCCAGTTACGCCTGTTATATGTTAATGTTAGGTGTAGAGAATGTCTGTCTGTGGATTCTCAGACATTCATAAGACATGGACTTAGAAAAGTACATTAATGTAGTAGATCTAAGTATCACAGAAATCAGTCAAGTAGTAATGTGTCTAACTTTTACCCCTTTTTTTGAATATTAAGAGAGTAATACTAGTTTAAGCCACTATATGTACAGTATGTGATGGGTGGTGTTCTACATAGGTTCTATATGGAGAACACCACCTCCTTGCAGGAATGTCTCTCAGTCCATCTCTTCTTAGACAACCAGCCCTCCCTTTGATTGAGCCTGTCATGGTTTAGTGGGTGTCTGAAATGGCCACTTGAGACAAGTAAATTCTAATTTTAAAAAAAGGTCAAATATAATTAAATTGTGGCCTAAAAACTGTTTGCTAATCTAGATTGTTCCCTCTTATTGAATGGTTATGAGGTATCTCCAGTCTCATACTTATGAACATTGTTGAAATTCTTTGATGTTATCATTAGGTGTGTTGCTGCATGGAGCCAGTCTGTGCAGGTGATTTAGCTGCATTCCCCATGCCACTCACTATGATCACCAAAACAACTGTGGATTTTCAGTGTAAATTTAAGTTTGTACAGTATATCGAGCATGTGTCGTGCTACAGCAAGCCCTTGGATGGCGATTTGATTTAATTGGTTTGCTCTTCATAAGTATTTTCCTCTGTTAGTTTAAAGAAAAACTAAAGCTTTTTAACTTCAAGTGTAATAAAAGTGTTTGATTTAATAGATTGGACTGTTCCTATATTTTGGTGTTGAAATAAATTCTAGTGCACTGAGAGTTCATCTCCCATTCTTTTTGAACCTGTGAATTATGCTTGAAGCTGCATGGATTTCCACTGTATCTGGGTCCCACAAAGAATTTATGTTGTTTTTGATATTACCAACAAAGGGGAACCAAAGAAGGAAATGACAAAACCTTTAGCTCATATCTTTTTTCAATTTTTCAAACAGCACTGAGGCAGAAAGGGTGTGAGGACACTGTTTGCTAGATACTGTAGATATGAAGTTGTTAAAGACTTTCTTACCAACCACCAAGAAGACAGAGCTGGATTGTGGGTCTTTTAGTTCTGACACAGTTGCCTGACACTCCACTGTGGTGTTGCTGACTGCCTGGAACTTGAGGACGCTGGTGGAGTTGATGGAATCCCCATCGGCCATGCTGGTGGTGTTGTACAGGCTGCTGTTTACAGCTTGGCCATTTTGGTTCCAGCTTACGGTGGGTATGGGGAACCAAGCAGTTGCTACACACTGGAACTCCACCTGCTGGTCCTGTTCCACGGTCAGGTTCCCTCCCATGATGCTGACTGTACCACTCTCTGACAAACAGAGACAAGGACAATGGAGAGGTTAAGTCAGGAGTACAGTATGTTTTTAAGCTTCTGACCCAGTGGTCAGTGATTGGAGTATGTAGTGGACCCATTAAGTTCTTGGTTTTAGTGCTCCACACAATGTGCTCTGTGAGAACCAACGGGATTGGGGCTGAAAGACCCAGGGCTTCTGCCAGGGCTACTGTGTGTGTTGTCTTTCAGCACTACAGGTTGTGGTGTAGCCAGAGGAACTGGGTGCCACTGGCCACTGTCTCCAGGTTATATAACACCTGCCCTCCACTGGTAGTTTGGAGGTTCCCCCTCCCATGGTACCACCTTGTGTTACCTTAGAGTTTAGTTAGTTCTGTTCTTTTTTTTCCCAGTCAGAAGTTGGAATTTAAATTTTTATTACATACGTAAATTAAACAAACTTGATCTGTATTAAATAAAATTCCTGTCGTTTAGTTAAATGCACAATATGTAATTTTCTGCCACTAGGGGTCCCTCAATCAAAACAATAACAAAAGATGGAGTTTTATGATGTCATGAAGTAGCGTGGGCTCATGGGACTTGTTGTTTTCACTATCATTGCTGTCAGCTTCCCCCTGTTTGGATTCCATCAATATAATCGCTCAGGAGGTTTTTACGTGGCAGCTGAATTATCTACACAGACACTGTTTAATGGGCTGGGGGCTGAGCTGTTGCTAACGTTTGCTCAAATGATTTCTCTGATCATTCAAGATCTGATGATCTGATCTGATGATCTGATGAACAAAATCCTTCATCTGGTTCAAATTCATGGTTAAAAACCACCAAGATCTAAAAATGTTCATTGTAAAAATGTGGCTTAAAACTGGGTAAAAGGTCCGTTTTGACTGCTGCTGGCAGACAACCAAAACACTGGCACACAGAAAGGGGATATGACACGATTGACAGGCGAGCAAATGAAACGGGACGTTACCTTGAAAGATTTCTTTTGGTTTGAAAAATGCGGGAAGCTTTAGGGATAAAGTAGGGATGCAACAACACTCAACAAAATATATAGCATAAGTCTAGTCATTTTTAGACATGTTAATGAAGAAAGGTTAGATATTATACATGCTTCCCTTTTTTACTATGGTCCCAGAGCTGAACCATAGCAGAGTATGTTTGGAATCATTGTTGGTTTTGGTCTTTCCGTGGGATTTGTTCAGCCACAGACATTTATGTCAAGATGGCTAATTATTGCAAATGGTATTTTTGGCAAGTAACACTCCCCGAGAGGGATCTCAAAGAATCAGAGCAGCAACAGGAATTCTCCTCAGATAATGAATTCCCTTTTAAACACACACACATACAGGATAAATAAAGTACATTGGATCTTAAAATGAACAGTACTAAAGATGGGTTGAAGGGAGCTGCAGTCACAAAATGTGTTGGCATGAAGGTGTCAGTTGAGTATTCAATGAGAAATGAGGTCATGAAGGTCACCACTCACACCTGCATGACTATGATCGGATAATTCAGTGAGCCCATAGCCATGCGGCTGATGAATGAGGCAGTGATGGTGAAGCATGAATAAATCAGCTGATGCCAATCAGATCATGTGAGTGTGACCTCGGTGCCCTGACTGAACGAACACAATACTCCATGAAATGGAAAAATACAAAGCTAAATATAACTGGTAATTTTAATGGGTTTTTAGATAAATCTTTACGCTGTGTAATAACAAGACATATACCAGTTTTTTACTGTATGTCAAGTCTTAACATTTCAGATAATGCTGTTCACTGTAAAGTGTCTTCTCATATGAGACTTTCTTTAGTTTGCTGTTAAACTGTTGTTGAACTGTCAGTGTTCATCATTAATATCCCTCCCTTGCAGAAAAAGGAATCAGTCTGCTCAACTGGCAGGTCTATTAAGTGGATTTATTCGCTTTAGCTGCGGGCTTTGCTACATGCGATGAGAATATATCTGTAATCATGCAGGTCCTAATCAGCAGCATGAGCTCCAGCATCTTCACAATCAATATCCATTCAGAGCCAGGGAGTGGAGCCCAGATGTTTCACAGTGAGATTACCTTCAGATTAATGTCAGGTTTAGCTGTTTGTGCATGGAGGGGAGCAGGCAGTTATTCGCTGGATTTACTTTACACTGCTGTGTAAATGCAATGGTTTGAGGCTTGTGGATTAAACTGCCGTGCAACTATTTATTGGGGAATGGGAATGTTGCACATTATTCCCCCTGAGTCTGGAATCTAATCCAGAGATCGAGGCCAAAGCTACTGATGAACGGAGGTCAGAGCAGAGCTGACGGGGGGGAAGTGTTGCTTCTGGTGGTAACAACAAAATGTTTCTCGATTTTGTTTTAAGGGGGAGTAACTCTAATCAGAACAATTGTGTCAGAGGTTTTCTCTCAGGCCCCACGTCTCCATTTTTGATCATCTGATGTCAAAACATGTCCCACTGCTACAATATTTATAAGACAGTGTTTGCAGAACAATAAGCATCCCTGCAGACATATATTACATATTCATGACACTACAACATGTTGTTAGCTACTGCAACACATTTATGGTCTATATCTGTGATGGTCATATCTCTCTGTTTAAAAAATAGATTCATCTCAGAAGAAGTGGTTACATACACAATTATACTGGAAACTAAGTGGTGGACAAACTACAGTTTTCTTTGGTTTTGCTTTCCCTAAATAATTTCTTTGGCTGCCTTTATAACAATGAAAAGGTGCTTCAAATAATTTTTTCTGATGTTGTATTTGTTTTACTTTGTTGAGTTGTATGTAAATTCCACTTCTCTGATGCAGGCTGTAGAGGTTGTGTTAGACTGTCCTCACTCTCCAACAAATCGACTTCCCCCATCACAGAAGCAAATTGTAGTTACTCTCTTTCTCCCTGAACTAAAAGCCGTTAATCTCAGACGGTCTGACCACATGTAAAAGACTTTTCCCTGCACCAACACCCAAATAAGCCCTCATAAAATGTTCCGTTTTTTTCTTGTTTCAGTGTGGATGAAAATGACTGTAAGTTGACGGGATGAACATGCCGGGGTTTTTTTTTTTTTTTTGCCTTTTTTGGCGTTTTATTTGATCTTTAAAGCTTCTTCATTCATTTCTTTTTAATCTGTACACTCCGCCCGTTAAGCCAAGTATAACATGAACATAGCTCAGAGAGCTCAGGCTGCATGTCTGTTCTTGTTCTGTAATATCTGATCCTATTGTGATCAGAGGCTGTGAAGAAGAAGGATAAAAGGAGAACACTGCTGCCCTCCACAGTGCCTCCCACTCACTACACCATTCTTACAGAGAGGTTTTTTTTTGTAGCATGAATGTAGAAATATTGAACTGATTTCTCTAATAGTAGAATATTTGGTTTGAGGACAGTGTGCATACAGCTCAGCATCAATGGCCCCAGAGGGGATCTTCCTTTTTGCGTGCTTCAAAGCTGCAGCTGTCTCTCAAACATATATATGTAGCTTAGAGCCTGATATATGTCTATGACCTTACCTTGAACATTAAGTTGCGCAGTCCTTTGTCCATAATCCCCCTGCACAGCGCAGACGACCGACCCGGACTGATTGCGGTTCACGTTATGGATGATGAATTCCACACAGCTGGTGTCAGCACTGGAGCACAATCTGCTGGAGTACTGTCCTGGGAATGAGGTTGAGTTACCGTTGGGAAGTGAGACAGTGAGAACCAGAAGCTTTCCGACGGTCCAGGTCATGACTTCCCATTTTCCCGCCACGTTGGCTCTGAACTGCGCACTAGTGCCCTGCAGCACTGTTAAATTCACCGGCGCCAGATGGAAATCTTGAGCCAGCGCTGAACATACAGAGATGATAAGTAAAGAATGAGATACAAGCAATAAAGTTCACAGCTAAAGTCATTCTTTGGTTCTTGTTATTATGACACATGCCTCTTTATTTTAGTCCTGGTGGGGGGGGGGCTGTGCTGCTGCATCTTGCTTCTTTGTTATCTTCTTGTATTATGGAACAACATTAAAGACTTGATTTGGGTTTAAATACACATTTTACTTTACTGAACATGTAGAGCTGATGTCATCTGTGCTGTGATGTCTGAACCTGACTTCTCATTGCTCTTTAGACCGACTCCACCTCCTGAAGTCAAGTATGCAGTTTGAGGTTTGTAGCAAAGTTGGGATGCATAGGGATAAAAGAGTTTCTGGTGTGTAGTACATGTATATTAGGTCATATAACACATACATATTAATACATTTATTTTATTGCAACATGATTATCAGTGCCCCCTTTATTTATTATTCTATTTTGTAAGTAATGGAATTGATGGCATGAGTGATAAATCTGGATCATTTAATGTTGCTATACAGTATATAAACATTAAATTATCCACTTTAATTGTGAAGTCAGTGAAAATATTTTTTACTGCAGCCCAAATCTGCCTGTGACGCAACAACATTACTAAATCATACTCTGGAACGTAGCCTGAGAAAACTGACTTGATTTGTTATGGAAGCACGTAGGACTCGGTGCTTGAGTTTGCTCAAGGTACGTAAATATTACCAAGGGCACTGGCTTTGTGTTGTTGGCTTTTGACAAGACTGAAACTCAAACACAACACTAATCTGGACCGATCCTTCACAGAGTTTGTGAATGTTGTTTTCCTTTTCAAGGAATGATAGATAAGAAGAAGAAGACAAAGTAAACCCGATGTGACCTGATGTGTTGTACAGAAGGTAATCACACTGATGATGAAGAGCGTCATCACACAGGTCTAAGTTGATTTGCAAATAAATGTTACATCTGAAAATCACTCCTCATGTCAGATGAGCATCAGTTGACAAAAAAGTGAGAGGTAAATATCCAGTGCAGACAAGAAGCTTTCAAGTTATACTGCTGTAGTGAATAAAAGACCATTGTAGTTTAATCTAATCCTCACTGTTACACCTTTTACTTCAGAGGTATTTTTGAACTGCTGTTATTAAGCAGTTTGCAAGTGCAATACTAGATATAAACATTCAATTGTCATAAACAGTGTGTAGGAAAGGAGATATTCATCTGTAAGTATTTGGACAACAAATTGCATACGTTGGAAGAATGCACAAACATTATTCTTCTTCCCCTCATCAAACAGACTCTTTGTTTCTAAATCCACTTCAGCAGGTTTACACAGACTTTATTATCATTTGAGGAATAAATTCTGACCTTCAGCTGCAAACAGTAATAAACAGATGTAGAAGAGGTTGGACCATGATTTCCAGGACACAGTCATGTTAGTGTTGTTATCCTGAAAGATGAGAGAGAGAGAGAGAGAGAGAGAGAGAGACAGATGAAAGAAGAAGAACAAATTCACTGTCCTCTAAAATGTCCAGAAAAGGCTCCTGTGCATGTGGTCTGTGAAGTGAACGTATGTTGTTGCAAATGAACACAAATGAAAAGCAGGAAACAAACAATCAGTGGCCATTCGATGTTGAAAAAGTGGAGGCACAACGACACCTGCTGACAACGTCCTCAGTTAGAGAGTCGTTTCCTTCTCCAGATACTGACTGACATTATTTGAATTTTAATCCTATGGCGGTTTTCCCGGCAGTTGCACATTTTGAGTTGTGATGTCGAGTTGAGCTGATACTTGACTGTGTCACCTTTAGCACTTATGTTAGGCCACAATAAATCCCCGGCTTTTTTTCACAGTGTCTTAAATCCTTCCAGGAAATTAGCGACAGAGAGGTCATTCTTGGTGTGTGGCGAGTATATGTAAAGATAATCATATCTTTTTAATCTGCTTTAGCTCCCAAGAGCTTACTGGACAGAAACTAAACTGATCGGTATGAATTATTTATTTATTTCTTTGTGGGCTGGTTCCAATGACAATACAGTGATAAATCATGTAAATCCAGGAAGCTACTCCTGCTGTTTTTTTTTGTTAGTGCCCAAAGGAACTAAAGAAACATTTTCAACATTGAAAGGGTTAATAGATCTACAAGTGGTTCTCATATTTCTGTATGCTAACAATGGTAAAGTAGCTGATGTTGTCGCTCATTCACATGAAACAAATGTATTACAAAATTAGGAAAGCTATATTATTCAGTTTGATACAGGATCTTCTATTAACCAAATGACCAAACCACTGTTACTTCCTCACTGTAAAACCAGACGGTTAATGCGGCACATGCTGGTTTTCCATACTTTGCTAGTGTTGATATCAAAACATATAACTAATAAATCATCTCAGTTCATCAAACCTCTTCATTCACAACAAAATAATCCTCAGATTTAACAGCATCTTCAGTTAAACACACTTACTGCGTGACAGCTCCCGCCGAGGTGTGTGGCACCGATCAAAGCTTCATTTCCTGAAACCGCAGGTGAGCAGCAGGACTCCACCTGTGGCTGTGAAACTCTTACAGGGAGCAAGGTTCAGGTCTGGCCACTGAAACCAAGCCATTATCTCCACACTATACCTGTCAGTGAGTGATATTGTCCCGAACGGATGTGAGTCAGGCAGCTTAAGTCTGCTTTTATTACTCAGTCCTTTTTCATAAAAAGAATAGTCTTGTTTCATTCTGTTCTTTATTCTCCACCGTGGCTCTGTTTCTATCTGTACACTTTACTCTTATACAACCAACATCTTAATTTATCCCATCACAGAGTAAAACAGAAGGGAAAACAACAACTAAAATGAGAAATAAAAGACAAACCAACAACAGAAAAAAACAGAATAAAGATTCTTAAAGTCCTTGAAAACTTATTTTCTCAATCAACTTCTTATCATGAGGGATGGAGTCGTACATGAACACAATGTTTTCAGCCAACTTCTGCAGCTTTTGCTTTTTTACATTAGAGATTTATGGATTTCTTTCTCTCTCTCTCTCTCTCTCTCTCTCTCTCTCTCTCTCTTTCTCTGTGTGTGCTCTTCTCCCTGGTTTGAAGTGGGTGGGACTCAGTTTGATAAAGGTGATGACATTTACATCAGTGCACCAATCAGCCTTTAACAATATTTGAATGAGAATCTGATGACAGTTTGTAGGTTGTTTGGTTACAGTCATCTACACGCCCACAGTCCTTATGAAGCAGATTAAATGAGTTAGTGTTCGTGGTTCACCACCGGCCCATCACTCTTCTAACGACATAATCTCGTTACAATTTCAGTTCATGCAACACTCTGGTTCTTGATCAAACACCTGAAAAACCAACAACAGTCCCATCAACCTCAGCTCCAATTTATGTTTAGTCCTACTCAGCAAATGTTAGCATGCTAACATGCTAAGATAGTTTCGTAAGTTATAAACTATGATTTTTTTTTCTCTCTCTCCATCTCTTTTAATACTTTGTTCAGTTATGAATGTTAAAGTACTAGAACAATGTGAATTGTTGTTTAATACTTGTAGTGGTATGGAGCAGTGTTTTTATAATTGGGGCCTATTTGCATGCAAACCAGGACACACATGAATGAGCTCATTCACAATGACAACAGAAGAGACGCTTTCTGATTGTTTCACACAATCCTGCTGACCGACAATTAGTGGCAGTAAATAAAGACTTAAAGAAATATGGGCGTAAACAATGCAGGAATTTGAAATATTTTTAAAATCAGCTTGACTGCTTTTTAATGAGGAAATGCATTAGACATATTTGTTAAATCTGATGAAAACACACAATGTGTTCTGGGAAACGCAAACAAAATGAACGCAAACAAAACTCCACAAGACCATTTGCAATATTAAATTGCTGATCAGATATTAATTCAACCGTTATCAAACAGGGGACATTTTTGGTAATAAGTAATATCTTATTACCATCTTATTATTATCTTATTACCCAATAATACTTATGTATTTACATTTAGATTTTGAATACAGGACTTTGACCTGTATTTGAGTGTTCTTAAACAGATTTATTGCTACTTTTACCAGCGAGTGAGTCTTAATAACAGCATCATTTCAGCACAATGACACAGTAACTTTTAGACATTATCAGACAATTCACTCAACCAGTCCACTTTAACCCACTGTGGTAAATACACGAGTGTGTATGAACACTGAGTTAAGCTCTTCAGACTACAGAAAAAGTAGTTAAGCTCCTGGCTTATGAGTGACCCAGACTCAAATCAGGTTTATTTATAGTGTCAGTGTAAACAGGGTCATAAAGGTAACTTTCTTACAACAGAGTCACTGATAGCATCTTCCTTATTTTAGTGAATCCTGACCTTTGACCTCTCTGTGGGGAGAAAATAGGGAAGAGGGTGAACTCTATTTTCACTATTATTACAGTTATTTTTAGCCAGCCTCTCATTTATCCCATCACCACTGCTCTAAGCACAGATCACAAACACACTGTCTCCTCACTGCCACAGCCGCTCTGCAGCAGGTTAATGAGCGAAGGAGGAAATTTACTTGTGAACAAGACTTGACACTCCTACTGTGGGGCGGCCTGTGGACCTGTGATAAGTCTTGATGACTGTCAGTGGGATGTTTGCAGCAAGATCATCCCCACCAAGGTCATTTGCACAGGCTGCTGCATGAAGAATGTAGTTCCACTGCTCTGCATTGAGCTGAACCACTTTCAAATAAAGCTGAGAATAACTTAGTGATGGTTTACATGTTGACCACTAGAGGTCACTAGAGGACCATGTTGTGATTATACAAAACAATGCACTCTGTTAGTCCAGAAACGCACATTATATATATATATATATATATATATATATATGAGTGCATTTTAACACACCTTTTATTACATTTGTTACTTTGTTAGCACACTTTGTTACTTTGTTACTTTGTTAGCATATGAACTCAGAACAGCTTTGCCATGTGATAGTTTCCTTTAAAAAAATCTGGTATATAGACCATATGGTAAGTTTTACATGAACTACAGTAAAGCATCATTAACTGCAGACATCAATGTGATTTGAAGACATTACGATTAGAAAATACATTTTACAAATGTATTTACCATGTTAATAATCATGAATTACTGCATGGTTATAGGAATAATACATTTCTAAGAGCTTCGACCTGGATGGCAGAGAATCTTTACAGACAAGTATAATACATCTTTACCAATTATGAGCTCATTATAGCGCATGTTCTCTGTGTGCATTAAGACCAAGTGGCCAAAATGCACTATATACAGTGGCCCCAGACTTTTGGACCCCACTGTCCTTTTATATAACACTGTTTCATATTTTGAAAATACTCAAGTACAAGTACCTCAAAACTGAGTAAATATTCTTCCTTACTTTTCACATCTGACTACATGTTTCATTTGGATTCGTTGTCATCTCAATTGACTGCATTTATTTATCTATATGTTATCAAAATATAAAATATATTCAACAAATTTTATACCACCTGGTTTCAAGTTGTGTTTTTACTCGACTATTTTCCAGTGTTAAAACCTGGTTTAAAATAACAAAAACCTGTCTACTGAAGCTGGAGAACTAATTGGTAGATAAAGCATGTCAAAAGGCCTTTAGTGGAACAGCCTCCTGATTAGCAGGTCTCATATGATGCAGTGGAGAAGCTGGCAATGCGAGCTGTCTTTCCACTGTTCTGGTTATAAGCTCCTCTGGCCCACAGTCATGGTTTTATGAGGGCAGCAGTATAGTACTAGCTGGAATGTCTCCAGACACAGCTGGTATTGTATAGGCAGAAGCAAGCAGACAACCATGAAAAACAGGAAGTAGATAGTGGGGGAGGGTCAGCAATAGCAGTCCTCTGATCCCCTGCATATGGCCTGCGATGGAGGTAATTCAGAGGCCTCCTCTGCCGCGACAGCCCGCTGTGTCAGGGATCATCAGTCATAAGTCATCATACTTGTTCATCCTTGCATTGGCTGCTTGACTGAACCAGCCTATTGTTTTATGTCATTGTTTGCAGCCGTAGATTAGTTCCATTCAAATGCCCCGTTTTGTGAGAGAATAAGATAAGACCATACAATGCAACACCTTCCAACAAAAAGGCACGCCTTCAGAGCATGTATTAATCGCCATTGTGGGATTTGTTTTTGTGGTGTCAGCAGTTGGCTAATCAATGGTTAAATCCGACTAAGGTTTATTGTTACTGAGCTTATTAGGACATGTTGCCACTGGGGCAAGCCTCCGCCCTCTCTCTCATGTAAATGACTGTGTTAAAGGCAGGTCATGGGCACGCCCCTCCTTAGACTGCAACACAGTGACTGCTGAGTGGACAATGCAACACATCTTACTTTTAGCAAAGACATTTAACTTTTGTCACTCTACTTTGTTTCTATATCATCTTTTTATATATGATCATTAAATAT